CCTTCCCCCCCAAAACTTACCCGAAATCCCCCCAAAATACAGTTTTTTTAAGAAAAAACCCCCCAACACGCAAAATATTTATTAAAAATACAATATTTACCACATAGTATGTATTTTTGCAACAACATCCATTACTGGAGCTCTATTTTTGAATCACGCACCTTGCGTCGAACGCTCGAATGGTGAAGGCGAATGATAGAATAATTGTTATATTTGCGCCAGAAGTTACGTGTCAAACTTTATTCACGTTTGCAGTTTTTCGTTGAATTCCGTTTACTACTTTTTTAAATTCAAATTTTTGAAACAACCCTTGCATTCTTAACTCCGACCACTGATCAAATATTTCGCTACTTTCTTTTACGATCTATCCTTGTCATGCTTTATATGAAACGACAAGGGCAGACTGATGTCAACTTTCTTCTTCTTTTATTATGGCATGACGGCTAATGCATGTCAAGTTTACAAACAGCAATCACAAATAGCTGTGAAGTGCCGTCATAAAAAACGACAAAATACAATTGTAATATACAGCCATGTACTCAGAATTTTTCGTTCCGTTTTCACTGCGGTAATTACCGGTTGTTATTTTTTTGCGTGCTATGAATAAAATTTTATATTTCGTATTAGACTGGTAACAGCGGTGACGAACGATTCATTAATAATACGGAATATCATGTGACTAGAAAGTCGAAGGTGACATCAGGGGACATGTCGCATTCGGCCATAGAGTACATTGTTATATATAGAAACATTCGGCGAAACTATGTCAGGCGAGCCGGCGAGTGATTCAAAAATAGAGCTCCTGGATCGACATCTTCGCACGGGTCGTCTTTTTCATTCCTTTGTTAATATTCTTACATAACTTTGTTTTAATAATGCCATTATTTTATCAAACTATTAAAAGGATAAATTACCATATTGCGACTAAGCAAAACAAAGATGTAGTGTTGATTCGATTTGCAGTTTACACCTTTAACGTGTCCGTGATGCTAACGCACAGTGTGTTATGAGACCGTAAAATCGGACATTCTCATTTATTTGATGAATCGTTTAGAGCTCATTTATGCAAATATGATAGAAAAACTCTCGTTTGAAAATTCCACTTATTTTTCGAGATACAAAAATTCAAAAGTTAGTTATTTTTTTCTTTTTTAAAAATGAAAAACATTCTTACTCGTAAACTAATTACATTTAATTTAGAGCCGTTATAATACTCCATAGAACTCTTAAAACTACACGTAATAAGCGTTTAAAGTTTTTTGTAAATGCTTGCAGTTAAATAAAAAAAAATCTTTTTGTTATATTTGTTTTTATTTTTTTTTCTCCATTATACCATAATATATGCAAACTTTTTTAATCGCAAGCTATAGTCTGATATTTATTCTAGTTGTATAAAAAAAATCAGCATTAAATTTCGTGGTATATTTGAGAAAAAACAAACTGAAAATATGCACCAGGGCTGTCACATAGAATTGTAAATTTCTTATAACTAATTAAAAGCAATATTTCTTTTGGAGGTTTAAATATCTAATTAAAATCACACATATTAAGATTGAATGTTGTGTTCGATTATAGACAATGCCAGAGATGACAAAGGTCGAATGTCGGTGGAAAATACTTTAGCCCAGTAAAATTAGCTTTTAACCTTGGAATAGGAAGCGAGATATTTATGAAAAACCCGTTCTTATAAATATCTAGCTCCCTATTCCTATCTTTTCCCGTTCGAACTTAAATTACTTAAGACGCAGAAACTAGATCTTATATGATTATGAGATTTATGAGGTAACCTTTAAAACGTCAAAACATAGATTTATAAAAAATATAAGCTTATTATCTTCCTTATCGAGATTTGACCCTCTTTTTGAGCTAATTTTATTGGATCTCAAAAAGCTTAATCTATTGATCGATATTAGTTCGATATTAAAGAACAATGTATCGAAGATCAGGTCGAAGACCCAAGTGACGATACAACAGTCCTATCATCTGAAAATAACATTTTAATCGACTGAAAATAAATTTAGATTAATATAAAATAAAATTTTAAAAACAACTGCAGGCGCCGAATATCAATTTTTAGACCTTTAAATACTATGAATATAACAGGTGGGATTCAATTAGTATTTTTATTTGTAACTTTTTAGACATGAATTTATCCCTTCTAAATGTGGCAACCCTAGACGCGTAAAAATTTTGTGAATAGGTTTATTTTTTTTTCTCAAATATACCACGGAATTTTAAGCTGATTTTTTTTATACAACTAGAATACATATCAGACTATATCTTGCAATTGAAAAAGTTTGCATATATTATGGTATAATGAAGAAAAAAATAAAAACAAAAATAACAAAAATCTTTTTTTCTAATTAACTGCAAGCGTTTACGAAGCACTTAAAACGCTTATTACGTGTAGTTTAAAGAGTTCTATGAAGTACTGTAACATTCCTAAACAAAATGTTATTAGTTACAGAGTAAGATTGTTTTTTCATTTTTAAAAAAGAAAAAAAAAATATTTTTCAATTTTTATATCTCAAAAACTACGTGGAATTTTCAAACGGGAGTTTTACTCTCATATTTGTATAAATAAGCTCTAAAGAGTACATCAAATAAATAAGAATGTCCGATTTTACGGTCTCATAACATACTGTGTAACGTACCCACGATCAATATACGGTTTTTCGTTATGCCATTAAATACTGCCAAATTAATGTAAAATTTAAAAAATAGCGCCTCTTTAATTTAAGAAATAAAGACCATTTTTACTGTGTACGCTAGCATGACCCATGGCCGTCCCCAAGAACGGCATATATTTAAGCAACGAAATTGACACACAAAAATAGTTCGCAAATAGTGCCCTGGCTTTACAAAATTTCATAATCAGAGGACCAAAGATATCGAACTAAACATTCTTAGCTGGCGTCAACCTGGCGTACCCATAATAGTTCACATAGAAAATGAACTTTTCTCGTTAACAATTCTATATGTATAAATAGTGTGTCAAATAGTGCCTCATAACAGTAAAAGTATTTTAAGTGAGTGTTCAGAGCGGACTTAGAAGATTGTCGCGATCTATACCTCTTCTTACTGCGCCTGGTAATATTTATTAAGAAGGTTCCGCACAATAATCAAATTGCCAGTTTAGTTTGAAATTAGTCATAGCCTTTTCAACAAGAAATTAACTTTCAATTACTGTCACAACGGCCCCCGCCGTCGTCAGAGCTCACATCATACTCATTATCCCCTTTTTGTATCCTGACTCGAACAGTACCCACCATTACCACCTTCAACCTGTTTTTTTAATGCAAAGTCACCTGATCTTAAGTGTAAGAGAAGTAGGAAGTAGGTTCTCTCATCTGTACTTAACAGAGTAAAATAATAATAAATATTTCCAACACACACCAATTAGCCTAGCCCCAAAGTAAGCACTGTAAGGCTTGTGTTATGGGATACTAGGGTAACTGATAGAATACATATACTGCACATATATAAGTATATTTATATAGGAATAACATATTAAACATCCATGACTGCAGTACAAATGCTCGTATTCATCACACAAATATCTGCCCCCACTGGTACTCGAACCCGGGACCTCTCCAGTAAGCAACACCTTGAAACCCGTCGTTCATACCACTCGGCCACGGAGGTTGTCAAATATATAAATCTACCTTTTGGTGGTGTTGTGTTTCTGTCGGTGAGTAAGGTAGGGGATTGGGTCAGGGAGGCAACGGCGCAAGTGATTTTACTATGTCATGTCTTTTGGTTATGGTACCCGCTTACCAACAGGCGGGCCATATGCTTGATTGCTATCCTTTTAACAAAAATAAAATACTATCAATCGTTTTTAATAATAAAAACTGTCGAAAATAGGGTATTTGACAGTATTAAAAATAAAGTGCGAATTGTTAGCATCTATGTTTAAAATGAATATTGGCTGGGGTTTTTACTATTTTTACAAAAAAAAATATTCATATTTTTTCCAAAAACAAACGAGAAAGAATAGTTTTCTTATTTATTGTTACGTGACCCAAAACACTTGGGATTGGCGGAGCCTAAAATGACGTCATACGCAAGTAAACTTCCGGTTAAAGTGACATTACATTGTATCGTTTGATGTTTTAATAACAGTCGTGTGACGTCACACACTAGTAAGACGCCATATTGTCCAGAAAAACGTTTTCGCGGCAACTTGAAAATGGAGTTTTTGATTTGGTTATTTTTACTGAAATACACAACAAAATGATAAATATCCACTTTTTAGGGACTCCATAAACATTAGTCTATAACGTGAGATCGTTTTTTAAAACTTGTCAAATACCCTATTATTAGGTTACTCAATACCATTTTATGTGTGTACCAGGGGCATAGGTTACTTTTACCTAGTAGAAAGAAATAGATAGTATACAAAGCAGATTTATTACTACTCCTGGTAAGGTGCATGACCTCGAATTAGTGATGTGTTTTAAAATGATCGATATTTTTATTAATCACTAGTTGACCCAGTGGACTTCGTAGGGGTTAAAATAATTTGAAAGAATTGACGGACCCGAGTCTACCGTACCAAAAGGGGCAAACGTCAAATGTTTGACAGGAAAGAAGATAGAACAGTTTATATGGGAAAATTAAATTGACGTTTTTACTATCTTCCTCGCAATTTTTCCATATTTTCTCAGCTTTTAAACCTTCCCTAGACCTTCACAAACATTTAAAGATCAAGATAAGATAAATCCGTTCACCTGTTCTCGAGTTTTAGTGAGACTAACGAACACCAATTACTTTTTATATAGATTAAAATTAACTATTTGTACAAAAAGTTAAAACTTCTTGCAAATATTTAAAGAAGATTAGAGAAGACTCCTTATATGATATACTTCAAAGCCCTTAAAGCCTAACGGGTATTTTCGTAACACCATGTATAATTCAAGAAAAAATCATAAATAACATAAAAATACCTACTTGTGAACGAATCTCGGTTATGTCAGGTTTCAATAAAAATGCGACTTTTGTTGGACACTGGTTTATTGAAATTATAATTTAAAAAAATAATGTGGTATTTACTTTCCAGTAATCTTAAGAATTTTAGCTAGTTTTTAAATAAAAACTTTTTTTTAATTAATACCATGTATTACTAATACATGATTTAATACAATCCTAGTATGATTCGAAAATTTGATATTTTTAGGTAACTTTTGTATTCTTGTTTATAATGAAAGGGTTTTCATTACTTATAATGTTCATGTTCCTGAATGGGATTATCATCGACCACGTTTTCTGTTTTGATTTTTGGCTATTCTTCCTTTTGCTATGCTCCATCTCCCGCATCAAAATTTACAGGTACTTCCTCTTCAATTGTAATATAATCTTCCTCTTTAATTGTTATATCTTCTTCCTCTTCCGAGTGTACATGTCCTTCCTCTTCGAATTGTATCTGTTCTTCCTCTTCTAATTTTACAGGTCTATCTACATCAATTATTATGCGTTCTTCCTCTTCCACGTCAAAACGTTTTCCATCTTTATATTGTATATGTCCTCCCTCTTCCAATTGCATATGATCTTCCTGTTCTAATTTTACATACGCTTCCTCCTTAATTATTATATCTTCTCCCTCTTTCAAGTTTATATGTCTTTCCTCTCCCAGTGGTATGGATGGTATATGTTCACCCTTTTCCAATTTTACATCTTCTTTCTCATCCAAGTTCTGTTTATCCTCTTTCATTTTTATTTCTTCCTCCTCTTCATATTCCATATGTTTTCTCTTTCTAGATGCCTTATCTTCATAATCTACCAATATGGTATCAGTTCCGATATACGTGGGTTTGGATATCGCCAAGTTCAAGTTTAGTTTGTGGTATGTCCTGTCTATCGATTTCACGGTGTGCGCGTTCAACTGAAACAATTATAATAGATAAATATATTAGGAATAATAGGGAAGATTTGACTATCTTTTTTTATTTTTCTGTCAAGTAGATTAACAAAAAGTATTGGATAATATTTTTTGTATTTTTTTTTCTCTGAATTGAAACATTATTACGAGATATTAAATAGATTTGAAATTTCGCATGAAGTCGCATCTTGGTACAATTTTTACTTAGATGTGACGTAACGAGCCTCTACTCCTAAAGGACATCAACGAAATCTCCCCTGGCATGCACAAACGAATATCCTTGCCATATTTTTTTTACTTAATCAGCAATTATTCAAAGTAAACGGACATTCTGTGGTAAAAAATGAAAAATTTAAAGTTCTGTAACTACTACACAATTAAGAGTAAGTATTAAGAGACTGTCTCATCTAAATGAAATCTCCCACCACCTGTGGGCGCGGGCGACGCCGCGCCGCGACAACCCAGGTGGTGGGACAGCGCCTTAACCCGCTCACCTCATTGTGGTTGCACAAGTTCCACATCGCGCGTTCCGCGCGCCGGCACCTGTCCCGGAACTGTGTGAACTTGTCGAGCAACATGGCGCAGCACGCGCACAACCAGTACCCCGCCTGTCCAACTCTCTGGCGACGAACGACAAAAACTATAACTAATTATTTCAATCTAAAGTAAACTTTACTAGAAAAAAAAATGTGTGCGTGTACTAGTGTACACACGTAAGAAGTGAAACTTCTTTATGGCCTTATTTTTTTCGAAAAATGATCTACATGCAACTTTCCAGAAATATATATATAGGCGTGCGCTAAGATTTTTCAAAAACTCACCCACTTAAGGGGTATAACTACACCTTACCTTACCTTGTGTGAAACACGAATATTTGCTGTCGATACTTTTTTTTTAAGTTGACAGAAGAAGCAATTGTTCGGATGAGGTAAATAGTGCTCTTTTAAAAAAAAAGATGGCGCGTAACCAAAAAACGTGACGCGTAACCGAAAAAATGTGACGGTAAATTTTTTTCCAACGCCGATAAAGAAGTTTCACTTCAAAAATCCACGCGGACCGCACCCTTCGCTATTCGGGCGAATGCACTGACCGTTATATACTACCGCGGCCCGGATGGCCGTGTCTATTTTTTTCTAGAACTTCTTAGATAAATATAAAAGAAGGAAATGCCGACGCACTTTTCCCTCTTACACACATTGCCGACTGTGCTTTCGGCATTATATAAAATACCTAGGCAAAATGAATAATGCTTTGACGTTTTTGGCATTCTACTATATAAAATACCGAATTATACAGATTGCCGGTAACATATACAATGCATGCAAGGGCGTTGCCAACGGGGGGGGGGGGCATTTGGCCCCCCATCCCACTAGAGATCAAATGTAGCTAGCCACAAAGCGACCAAAGTGCAAGCAATTAACTTCCTCACCTGTTAATAAATTCCGCATCGCATGACAAAACGTAAATGAATTCACAAGATTTAATGTATCCTCCATAATATAGCACCATTGCCCCCCCCCCCCCATTTTTTATCGCTGGAGACACCCTTGAATGCATGACCAACATCAGAGAGGCCGCGGTCCCAGTGTCGTCATTTTATGGCTCTCGGCATGAGATCTAGTGCATTTCTAAGGATCTTCAGTGCATTTTAATTAACAACATGGCACTAAAAATATCTAGTGCAATGTAATGGAAAATTTGAGGTTAAACTTTTCTTGTAATTAAATATATTTATAATGTCGGGTTGCGACACAACAGTTCCGTTTCCGGCTGAATGAATCTGCAAGACCATAGTTATCACATTAAGCAGTTAAACTCTCACCGTTTTTCCGACGAATTCTTCGAATGTGGTCTTCAACTCCGTCGATTGTAGATCGAACAGTCTGACCCCGGTGACGAGACATCCCCGACAGAACAGCAGGGGCTCCGGTGATACGTCTGCAGATAAAAAAAAAATGGGTGCGTGTACTTATGTAGGCGCGTGAGAAGTTATCCTTCTTTGGCATCGTTTAAAATTAGTTTTTAATTGCATGCAAATAATTAATTACAATAAATTAATAAAAAGTCTGGAAAAGGACACAGTCAATAAAGTTCAGTTTTAATTTGAAAAAATAAATAAATAATCAAAATATTCAATTAAAATCGCTACTGAATATAATTTATTAGAACATGTGATTTGCACTTGTATGAAACTCAAACACGTATTCCGAATATACAAACTAGAAACATGTGGATAAATATTATAAATATGAATACCTATAACTGTTACTTTATTACAAAAAATAAAGATGTGGTTTTTGGTTCTACTACACCAATGGTCAAGAGATGGCGCTGTAGTCTCCTGGATCGCGCTTTGGTTCCGTTGTTCCAGATTAATAAATACTTTTGATATTATAAATATGAATACCTATAACTGTTACTTTATTACAAAAAATAAAGATGTGATTTTTTGTTCTACTACACCAATGGTCAAGAGATGGCGCTGTAGTCTCCTGAATCACGCTTTGGTTCCGTTGTTCCAGATTAATAAATACTTTTGATAGGCCTTCACAATGCAGTCGTTAGCACCCACTAAATAGAGATTCTATTTCTATTTTGCTGGTAGATTTTCTTAATGTGCGGTAAACACAAAAGTAACAGCATGAAGTTGGTCTTGCTGTTAAAATTCATGCTGTTAAAATTTTGTGTTACAGTGATGCGCGCGCATCTTAAAATTTCACTCTCATCATTTTTTCATAACGCGCCTAAAGAAGTATAACTTCAATAAAAATCAATCATTTATTAGGGGGCCGCGATGCCCTTTTACCGAATGCACCATTGACTTGCACCATTAATGGTTGTTAGCGCCTGAGCTTAGTGGATGTTAAAATAATAAAGTTGTAACCGAAAATTACGTGTGTTCTTAAAAATACTATGTATGTATGTTAATAATAATGCATGCTAATAATGTATGTTAATGAGTGCATTCGCATAGGCATCGAAATCTACACTAAATTATATTTTTGTTGTGCACCACGGCTAATGACCTAAATTAGGCCAGGCGCCGTGACGGTGTCAATTATTGCAAATACATATGCAAAATATTTATGTTCGGTTATTGCACCGAACAATGGTCCAGACTACACGGCTTGGTTCCGACATGGAGGAGTACCCCAGCAGTGGGGACATTAATGGGCTGATGATGACCTATAAATATAAACTAGCTGACCCAGCGAACTTCGTACCGCCATAAAAAAATTTAATTAAAAAAACATTGTCCAGCGGACAAAATTGTGAATCTAAACCATTCTCAGATCCCCTTGAACACACACAAAAAATTTCATCAAAATCGGTCCAGTCGTTTAAGAGAAGTTCAGTGACATACACACTCACAGAAGAATTATATATATAAAGATATTTTTTTAGGTAGGTCCGACAAATGACTCCACCCCACCTGATGTTAAGTGACGGTGAAGTTCAGACGAGAAGATAGCTGGTACAGCAGTTCTACCTGCCACACCAGCCATCCTCACCCTGCCGGCCTGCATGTTGCTTCTTCACGCCGCTTTTAAAGGTTCCCAGGTTGTAAGAAGGGATGAACGCGTGAGCGGGCAGAGCATTCCATTTACGGATAGTGCGACAAAGAAATGAATCAAAAATTATCAAATAATATGGTTCTTTCCTACTCACCTTTGGAAGTTGATGCTATCAGCGTCATTTTCTTTTCATGGTGAATGTGAGCGGCTACCTACAACAAAGCAGGACATTATTTATTTAACGGCGTACACTGTCCCGGGAAAATGTTAGGCTCTTGTGGGATTCTTAAAAAGACTAAAGTAAGCTAACGGATGCTAGTATTATATAATATCACCGCACCGTCAATCTGTATAATGCAGATACTCTATCAAGGGCGGATTCGGGGGGGGGGGGGGGGGGGGGGGGCATTTTAAAACCACTCCTTATCGAAGCGTAATACAACGTATTTAATTATATTACTTGACACAACAGTAACAATTAATTTATCATTTATTTCATGTATAATACAGATCATTACGCCTACATATAACTTATATGTTACCAAGAACATAAAATTAACAATTATAACTAAAGTGTACAATCATCAACAGAATCAACAACATATCAGAAAAAATCTAAAATATATTGGATTATAATAAAACTAAAAGTTAAAAACTTAACTTGAAGTCTTTCAATTAAAAATATCATGCCATAGACACTGTAGCTTACAGAAAAAAGTGTAGCAAATAAGCATCTTATAGTGCTTCAATGAAATAAGACAATAATAATACAATATCGAAGCAAAATTGCATACTTCTAAATATCATTTCAATGATAAATATTTGAGAATTTAAACATGTATAATATAATGTTAAAGTAAGATACTTTAAGAGAAAGTCGATGTCACCGTTTTTTGAATCTTTCAATGGCTTTCTGAACTTTTTGCACTTTGAATTTACTGGCATCAGTACCCTTTCTTCGCTAAAGTCGTTGACGTAGACTTCGTCATGAAAATTGTGGATTCTGCTGCCAATGCTTATAATCATTTGTGGATACCTGTCCAGTGCAGTTTGAAGCAAATTCTCTGCATCAAAAACCAAAAATATTAGTAATGGAAAAAGTATCAAATGTTTATTAAAAGAAATGGAAGAAAATCTATTGTACCTATAGTATATGCCAGTTCCTTCACATAAAATAGTGGCTTGCAGAATTTCCATATAAATTTTTATATCATCTATAGATGATATCGTTTCATCGATAGCTATATCTGGTTGTTGACAGAAAGAAACCTGTTGTATTATAAATGATTATGTGAGTAAAACTTAATAAATTACAATAAAATGTATGCATTATGAATAGATAAAATTATTTAAGAAAGCATGAGAAAGTTATTTACCTTCACTGAAAGATTATTGGCCAATAGTAAAATTCATATCTTCTTTTCGTGTGCGGATATTAATATAATTAATATTAGTATTATTATATATACAGGCTGGCTAAGAAGTTAGTCCTGTCTGTAAATTGTCATATTTTACACTCCCTCCGAATGTTAGCCCTGTGAGCCCATCATCGAACATAACTCTTCGTGTTTGGGCTTGGGTAGAGGTTTTGTGAGAATAGCTGCTGCTTGCTCATGGGTGGAAACTCTTTCTACATGCACTTCTTCACTTAAGTCTCCCGCGGCCATCCGCACGTGCCGCGAAGGGGTCATTGGACCGACCACCCACCGAGACCCCCCGCGGTGTGGGAATGGTTGCATTGTTTTGCCGATTTCTCAGTTATTTTGTAAGAATACCCTACACAAACTATATATATTTGGATTCTCCATAAAATTTACTATAAAACAGTGTCTAAACAATGCGTCATGTCTATAATCTATTTTAATTACGTTACGGTAAACTCGGGAAAGATAAAAAAAAGGCGTTTAGACGGGTAAAATGGAGTATATTTTCAAAATCTCAAAATTTCATGTCCAGATTTTTTGGTTATTTGCACATTCTATTATAACTTACCAAATAAAAACCTAAAATTCTATACTACCACAATTAAATTTTACACTACAGATCTGTCTCGAGCGCGCGCCAAATGTGTCAACACGTGCGCCGTTAATATAAACATCTCACATTTCAAGTGGGTCGTAAAGATTACACGCCGGCTGTTTGGATGGCTGAAATTTATTACTCCATTAGCTCCGAGTGTTAAGATAACATTAGAACCAAGATTGTTATGAATAACGTTTGTATATTTTTTAGGTTTAAGAACTTACAACGAGGCATTTAAAAATCGCCTACAAATCAGTCATCTCAGTTTTATGTCTATAAAACGAAAAGTATTTACAATTTTGGTAAACAGTTTTTTTTATCAGAATGTACGCGAAATTTGCTTTAGAATAAAGAAAAACTAATCACTAGTTCACATACAAGAAAATAATATAAAAAAATATTTCGTTCGTGTATTTGAATTTCGAACAACCGTTCCACCGCGCGGATTTTGTTTTTTTTTTATTTCTTCAAAAATACGAACTCAAGAGATTCTTTGTATTCGAAGTATTAATCATGAATAATTTATTCAATAATTAAAAATTAAAACATTACAATTATTATCGAAATTATCAAATAAAAACATAGGGTAAGTACCCCTAAGTTTTCGCTGATTTTTTTTGCGACCGCGTCTGCAAAAAAATTCTAAAAAAAAAAAATTCACGGAGACCCGCAAACGAAACATCAAAATAGAGTAACTAAATGTATTTAACTTAACCAGGCATGGTGTTTTTTTCTTTAAAACCACTCAAAAGCACTTAAAATAGTCTGAATACACGGCATATTTTTTTTCAGACAAAAAACGGCGAACGACGAACTTTGACAGACAACAGTATAAATATTTCATTTGGCAGTTGTTTTAATCAATGGCTTGATAGCTAGCCCGTTTTTTCCTCTAAAAATTGATATAAAAATGTAGGTAATGGCCAAATTTAAGGCCCCAGTGGCCCGAGTCCAACTTTCGTATGGTAAATCGACCGACTTTTGGTCGCTGGCCGCAAGTCGGGGTAACGTCAAAAACCAAAAGTCGGTCGATGGCCGCCTGAGAGGTTAAGAAGTGTGGCTATTCTAAATAAAATAAACAAATCTAATAAATAACTTTATAAAATCAAGAGTGAAGTTGTTCAGTGTATCTAGTGACGTTCTTAGTCTGCATATACCATTGAGTTGAACAATGCTCTGCTACTTAAACGTGAGTACTACAACAATCAAAAATATGACTAAATATCAACTCTTTATTATTAACAAAATAACACCATTTTTGCATCAGTATTGAGTGAAGATGAGCATGGAACTTTTCTAATGTAACACATGACAGTGGAGACGAGTCCCAGATCGTGACCTCTTTCATCAGAAGTTGAAAATTATGTCCAAAAGAATATGTATAGAAATTTTGCAAATCTATAACAATATAATAAACATATTAATATGTAATTGTTTTACATTATTTGCCGTTACAATTTCTGGTGATTCCATGTGATGGAGTCCTGCTGATTGAGAATCTTCTCTTAAATCTTTATTTTCAAAAATTTGTAACGAGGTTTGTGAATAATCCAGGTTTTCGATTTGATAGTTATTAATATCATTCCGTACTAATGGAACTTGCTGTAGCAAAAAAGACAATTGAAAATTAAAATAAACAGATTTGATATTTCTTAATTTTCATTAACATCTAAAAATAGTAAACGTGGCATTCAAAAACCTTTTCAAAAATTTCCATTTCCAAATCCTGAAGGTTTATTGGAATGACATTGTCATTCAAAAGAGTCCATCTTTCGCGAACGATGATAGTTTCAGCTCCATTAATAATCAATCGATCAGCTTTTTTAATATCTTCCTCGCGAAAGTGCTTCTCACACACAAATTGATTTGAAGTCAATTGTTGTGATAAAGCTTTAGCCCATTTTTCCCTCAATACGTTACTCTGAAAGTGAATGAATAAATTTTGAGAATTTACTAACTTGCAAATCTTGTATTCTATTCTATTTCAACAATTTCTTATAAGTTTAATAATAAATAATTTATAAAAAAAAACATCATTAATTAAGCCAATGTGGAGCTATAAATCGATAACTTATGAGACGAATAAAATCTTTATTTACCTTTGGTACTTTAAATAACGATGATTGGCGCAAATTGTTTTTCAGTCTATTTTTCCGATCAGATGCTAAACCACTTGCACATCCTCGCACAATACAATATTTCACCATTTTTAATGTTTATTTTTGTCAAAAATTCAAAAATTACGGAGCACGATTACTTTACTTGTACTCATAAACAGCTAACTTCACAGATACTACTTACCGACGGCAGCGCGGCTGGTGGCTGAACAATGAACTATAAATTCTACAAATTTTCATGGACGCGATTTTAATGTAAAGAGAATAGGTATAGGAGAAGCCATTAGCGTACACACTACACAGTGAGACAGCGAATGTGCTATACGGGTCAGGCCGTAGATTTTGCCACAAATAGCGCAATGGTGTCGCAAAAATTTCTACAAGTCCATAGCGCAGAGTGAGGCAAAATGGTAACGCAAAATTGTTAAGGAGTGCATACAAGATATGTAACGTAAGGACAGTGCTACAAAATAAAACACCTGGTGCTCCGTATTGGAACATTGTTCAATCGATGTGGACTGGAATGTGTGGAAACTCTGCTGATTGCTGTTTTTTTTCTGTCGTAATTTTAACCTATGTTCTTCTTTTTGTGCATCAGTCAAACATTTTATTTTATTTTGGTAAGCTTTAATTGCTCTTAACTTATTTTTCTTTTTCATTTCTAAATATTTTTCAGGGTCCGTTCTTTTCAGTTTTTCTCTATATCTTCTTGATTTTTCCGACTGAGTTAAAGGCATCTGTAATAACGAAATAAATATTATATAATATGGGCCAAAATACTTTTTGCCTAAAATATAGATGAAAATTAATAGATACCTTAAAATTTACAGACAACAGAAATTGAAACTGTAGATAATTACTTACTAAGTAATTTAATTTATTGATTATGTTCTAATGATTATTTTTCTGGATAATGTAATTTATTTTAACAATTAAAATTTTTATTAGTTGTTAGACCTGTTTTTGCTTTATAATATTTAATTTTGTATTTTCAATTTGACATTGAATTATCTTTATTAAACTAAGTTTTGATATTTGTAAATTAAGTTGTATATTTTAGTCAATATTATATTCATTAACTGTTCGCACACAGTAAGTCACATTGGCTACTTTTTTCAAAGGGAAATGACAAATCAAAATAAGATGTATCTTACTGAAATTTAATTGAATTGGTACTTAATTCCATTATATGTAATTGAATTTCGGAGTAATTTGTAGTGGGCTGCCCCCAATTATAGTCACATTTTGACAATAGTACCAACATAATAAACTTATATTTACCATAGACAACGAGAAACATGTTATTTTTGCATAAAAAAATGGCAGCACTGATCAAAATTGCTGTCAAAATTGACTCATAACCTACAAAAATATTAATTATCAATATTTTTTTCTAGAGTTCTATTCGTTTCCGCCTAAAAAGATTTCGTGTACGTGTTTTTAATAGTTAATACTTTGCGTGACAAAAATTTCAGCTTGCAACTCAATTACATATAATGGAAAGCTGAGCCATTGAATTATTTTAGTATGTACCATCAAGACACAAGGCAAACACAAGAGTTTTTCATACAAGACCTTCATATCCCGAGGTTTGGAGGCATGCACACATGCATGAACTTGAAGAAGCATTACTTTCTTTTTTTTTTTGAGTAATAATATTTTTAATTTTAAAATTTTAGTGTTTGTCATAATAGAGAGCCCAAAACTAAAGAGTTTTTAAGCTGGGGCAATCGAACAAAAAACGAGTTTAGTTTATTGCGAAATCATAAAAGGTTCAATGCAAGCTAAAAAAACACCTGCAAGCCTATGTGTGTAAGCTCCTTTATTTGGTAGCGTAAAATTAGTAGCGCAAATTCTACGCCCCTGGTATCACAAAGTTGCATAAAGTCATTTTTGCGCAACTGTCGCGCAAACAAAACCCATTATGACTTGATAAATAAGCTATTTTTTAATGTAAATTAAGCCTTGAAAGATGTCAAACATTTCATTAAATCGTGCGCAATAATAAGTATAGATATAAATCAAAAACTTACCGTATTATATCAAAAAACACTCTCCGCAAAAAATATGACACTTCCTTCTTTCAAACGATGTTGATGTTGGACTGAAAAAAATATGGCCGCTGACAGCGTATTGACCATAGACAAAGTTTGTTCGGTGTTGCCACTACTCAGACTAGAATACTGCTATTTTTTAAACACAACCAAATGGGCATTTATTACTTGCGCAATAAAAAGTTGCGCAAAGGAATGGATTTTAACGTTATTTGAAAATGAGTGAAAATTTATGAAATTTCTTAGGTAATACGAAACGATATTTAAAATGTGGCTAGCTAACTATTATTGTATAGCGTTAAAGCAAACAGACTATCAAAAAGATTTTTATTTTTGATTTTACTGATGCTCAAAATGCACCTCTACCGGGACGGATAAGCGTATTTTACGAAAAAATCTTCAATTCAATTAAATTAAATTTATTTGCATTAAATAGGGTACAAATAATCGTGTTACATTTCATCTAAGTTGTATCTTAACCTATTTAGTCATATAAAGATAACATGCAAATTTTTCAATTCAATTACCTATATAAATGTCAATAATTCTTATTATAATATTATAATTATTCGATGTCGTCAATTTATATGTCCATAATTATGTGAAAGTCAGTAATGAAAAATAAAAGTACCATACACAGTGGAAAAAAATGTCTTCACGTACTTTAGGTTTTTTTATTGATAATATACCCGAAACCGTAGAATAATTTATATCAATAGAAATAATAAAGTTTGTTCTCTCATTCTTGAGTTATTTTTATTGATACAATACTCAAAACGAACTTTGAATAGATTGCTAAATTGAAAGTATCTTCTGCTGCATCACTCATCACACATTTGCTGCTCCTCGCCCTCCTTATCTTCATAGAGCAGGAATAAAATGTTTATACGTTGTAAAGGAATACAATTTCCTGAAAAAATATGTTTCATTTCGCCGTGTATTAACATTCTTTTAACTGCCGATTGAAATTGTCTAGCAGAAGGATGGATTATTGTTAAATCCTCCTTTGGCTCTAATAAGCACTGAAAAAGTATTTTAAGTGCTGAAATATTTAAGGTGATTATGGATTATCAAAGATTCATGTAAATAAAAAACACTTTTGATACAAATTACAAATCCCAATAATCCCGTTTTTTTATTAGATAACATTATGTTTTTGTCTCCTAATTTTAATTTATTTTAATAGTTTAATTTCCGAGAAGTTTTGGTTTGATAATGGTTTTTTGTAAAAGTATGCACTTAAATTTCTTAAATTCATTATATCGAAGATATTATTATTTTTTCGAATAAAATCAACAGTACCAGCAGAGTTCTTAAAACTGTCAATATTAAGTTCTGTAGGTATTACAAAATTCAATAGCATTTGCAACAGAATCACTCATAACTTGAGCGGGTAACTTTACCTTCATAATATGTTTGCAGAAATTGATGTGCGATTTATTTAATTTATTACCTAAATGCAACCCTTTATTATCCTGGAGCTCAACAAGTGATACTAATCGACCCTGTGAATCGATGATTGGCCTTTTTTCTCCTAGAGTATTCCTTATAAACTTAGCTTAATATGTGAATGATCTGGAAATACAACTATCTTGTATAACTATCTTGCTTAAAAAGCAGTAACGCTTAAAAATAGCGAAACTTATACCGTAAGTGTGGGTTACTTTAGCTCGGGCGGGTAACTTTGTCCCAAATCAGAAAAAATATTGAACTTGCCGCCCCATCAGTATCTTTTGGTTGACCGTAATAGTTCCAGTTGAAAATCACAGATAGCCATATAGGCGCGCACTCAGACCAAATAAAAAGTATAGACGGAGTCTGCCGAACCAAAAAGTGAAGCCGATAAAACTACGCCTCGCCGTGTACATACACAGTTACACGCACACACATGCAACGAAACTACGCCTTGGCTTCTCAGTCGAGCTATCCCGACGCGCGGAGTGTGACGTAATAATAAATAACAATATTTATTAGAGAAAATGCCGAATTGTGTAGTGAAAACGTGTAAAAACCAATCTTCCAAGAATAAAAAACAGGATGGAATCACATTTCATACGTAAGTAAAGTTATAAACTGCTATTTTCAATTAATCAAAATCAAATTTGAAGTTGTCGCTTTGTAAACAAAACCTGAACGAAATGTTGCCATGATTATTCGTTACAGTTTTACCCTTTTGTTGGGTAGTGAAATATAACGTAACGTTATTTTATTAAATACATTGTGTGGCATACTTTTATATTATTCGAATATTGTAATGCATGGATAAACAATTACACGAAACATCTTTTTTCTTTATGTATTCGTATAAATTTTTTGGGATGTAATACACATTATATATTATACGTTTTTTTAAGATTTCCTAATCGAGATCAAGATCTAAAAGAGAAGTGGATTGCAGTCATTCGTAAGAGTAGAAATGAACCATTGTGGCAACCAGCTTCCCGCAGCGTGGTTTGTTCGACTCATTTTCAGAGCGACGATTTGTAAAATAATAATATATTTGTAATTTTATTTGTATTGTACTTTTTAATGGCCTTTTTGAGCCAAAATTCGCGATGTTTGTGGATTTATTTTATTATGTTCTTGTATAGGAACTAGTGATTATATTTTGTGTATTCTATAGAAAATTTCATGTACATTTTAATAAAAGAAACTGTTTATCAACATTTGTATATGCTTTTCGTTTTATCGACATAAAGTTGAGATGACTGATTTGTAAGCGATTTCAAGTGCCTTGTTGCGAGTGCTTGAAACTATAAAATGAACAAACCTATTCCATCCGAGACTTGTAACTAAAGTAAAATAAACAATCCAACATAATTAAACGTCAACACATAAATCAAGGCACTTGGATCTCGCATTTGTTTTTATCAACACTTGAAACACGACCATTTTTTTCTGTTGCGTGTTATATTTTATAATTATATTTGGTAAGTTATTATATACATTCATTCATATATAGTACATTCTATATGTACAAAAACCTGGATTTATAATTTACAAATTTTGAAAATATACCTCATTTTACCTATTTAAACGACTTTTTTTATCTTTCCTGAGTTTACCATAATGTAATTAAAATAAATTATAGACATGACGCATTGTGTACACACTGTTTTATTGAAAATTTTATGGAGAATCCAAATATACGTTTGTGAAGGATATTTTTACAAAATAACAGAGAAATCGGCAGAACAATGCAATCGTTCCCACCCAGCGGGCGGGCGGTCCATAAAGAAGTCCGGCACTTGTAGGTGAGAACGGCGCATGACCTTTGGCTCACGAGAGGTTTAGAGAATAAGCTTACGATATTTTTTTCTAATATTTTATAACGTTATTAATAACGTTATGAAATAACGTTATTACCTTTTTCTAATATTGGGGTGTTTTATATGACTATGGTAACACTGGCTAATGCACTATCTGAACTTAGAGTTCTGTGCTGTGATTGGCCGGATTAAATGGCGAACTCCGGCAGGTAGTGTGACCAGATTTAGTATTTTAAAACATTTTCGACTTAATTTTCAAAGCATTATTTCGGGTTTTTCGTAAAATTTATTCCGGTCACACTTGCAGGCGGCCATATTATTATATGTACTGTGTCGATCGACTGAAGTCGTTTGTGCTTATCCTCTCCACTTTATATGTAATTGAGCCCTCCGTGTCTCTTTGTCGGTGATTTT